AGAGAAGAGAAGAGAAGAGAAGAGAAGAGAAGAAAAGATCTTTCATGTTTATCTTTGCCTATAATTACCAAGCTTATCAGCATAGTATAAAGCCAGCCATAGCATCCTGTCTGTTTACCTTCTGTGGCCACAGTTCTCATTGTTCACCAACTCTATTTACATACTTTTCACATTTTGAATGAGGATTGCTGAATTTTGCCACTCTCAACATATTGAACTAGACATTGTCTGGGAACAGGAGCATCTTTGTACACTGTAGGAGGATTAGTGGTGTCCCTAGCACCTATTTGCTATATAAAAGTAGCAGCCCTATACCCACCACCCTGCTGTGACAACAAAAATTATTTCCAGAGGTTGCAGTGCCACTGAGGGTCAAGTGGGCCCCCCTCTACCATATTAGAAATATATCTTTGGCATAAAGAACTATGGGATGAAAATAATTTAAAATGTTCAGGTCCCCAGACATTGATTTACAGTACCTTAATATTTATTCTCTTTCTGAACAGAACACTTTAACTGCCTACCTGTTAAAAACAACTCATATTTCAAGATTCACACTACTACTACTGACCTCCTTCATGAAGTTTCTTTCACCACCAGTTCTTCATTCAATACCTTTCTTTCCCTTTTCTGAGGCACCAAATTACCTTCTGTAATTTTCTAGAAAATAATTTTTGACACTTTATTTCAGCAGTCTTCAACCTTTTTGGCATCAGTGACCAGTTTTGTGAAAGACAGTCTTTCTACAGGAAGTGGACCATAGTTTAGGGTTTATTGAAGCATATTATATTTACTGTGCACTTTATTGTTACATATAATGAAATAATTATACCACTCCATAATGTGGAATCAGTGAAAATCCCAAGCTTGTTTTCTTGCAACTAGACAGTTCCATTTGGGGGCACCTATGGGAACCTAATGCCACTGCTGACATGAGGAGTAACTGTAAATGAAGATGAAGCTTTGTTCACTTGCCTGCTGCTCACCTCTAGCTGTAGCTTCTTTCTTAACAGGCCACAAATATTGTACTCACTAGTAATCATGTACATCACATTTGTTATTGTTGTCATTGCTGTTATAGGGCGCATGTGTTTCCAGAGAGGGAAAGTGAGAAATCCACTTTATTCTTCTCCTGGGATTTTTAGGTATGCATGCACGCATGTCTGGCATGATTTTCAAGCTGCCAGATCTAGAACTTGAGCCATGATCAGCGATGTGGGAGTCCAGCACCTTAATCACTACGCCACCTGTTGGTCCCCATGCATCACACTTTCAAACTCTAAATAGGTGGAAGGTAGAGACCATTCAGATTTATTTGTGATATCCCAGCCAGTGCTTTCCATATATATGGATTTTAAAGCATTTTCTTTCAGTGAGGGAGTGAAAGAATAGTTATATTAATGGAATAAGGCTGCTAGTGGACAAACATTCCATGTAGCTCATTAGACATGTATAAATCTAGGTTCTATTAGCAAAGTATTAATATGTTTACCAAATAATCAACCAAATCAGAACCTAAGAGGGAATACAAAAATCATGCATGACAGCTTGATAAAAACAACTGGAAAAAAAGTTTCTCTTATGCTGAGAAAGCATCGTACTTACATTCTTTTCTATTTGAACTCATCTGGGCACATCTCCCATATGCACACTTAAGTACTGGTCAAGAAAGATTTGTGAATGCTATCATCTAAGCAGGGCATGCAAGCGCTTTTCCAGGAGTTTTCAGAAAAAGAAAAGCATACATGTCAAGGAGCACACACCGCATCCCTTCTGCACTAAAAGGCAAGGAGAGGCTCAATATGTAGTATAGTCCTATCGCTAATTGAATCCTTCACTTGCTTTGATTGACCTAACCCAAACTCTATCCCAGTAACCTAGGAGTAGTTTTCAGTACTTTGATAAATGCTTAGTTCTTACTGATTATATCTATTTTATTAGGATATTTGTGGTATCTAAGGTTGCAAATCCCTTATCTATTTTTTCACTTTGCAACTAGTACGTATTAAGTTTCATCAAATGTTGGCCTTAAGAATCTCCCACAAGTCAGGGGCTGGCAGGTAGTGTGGTAGGTAAGAGCCCTGGAATCCCACATGGTCAACTGTGGTTTGAGTCTGGGACCTGGTGGCTTGCTTGCTTTCTCTCTCTCTCTCTTTCTCTCTCTCTCTTTCTCTCTAACCCTCTCTGGTCAAATTAAAATAAATGAATAAATAAAGTTAAATAAAATAACTCTTTTTAAAAAGAATATACCACAAGTCAACCTTAAAAATTAATGATTAGGCACACATTTTTAAGGCTGAGCCATGGTGGATGCTTCGAGGGCAGTGGATCCCCAGCTTGTGAGCCCCACGCTACCTCTCAGGGGAGTCTGAGCTGTCTATGCAGCTTTCTCCCTTTGTCTCATAACCGTGTCCACCAATGGGAATGCTAATTCACCAGTTGCCCGTCTTAACAGATTCAAGAACAAGGGAAAAGCCAGTACAAAAATGAGGCAGCAAAGAATAGAAGTTAATGTGGAGCTGAGGAAAGCTCAGAAGGATGACCAGATGCTGAAAAGGAGAAATGTAAGCTCATTTCCCGATGACGCTACTTCTCCACTGCAGGAAAAACGCAACAACCAGGGCACTGTAAATTGGCCCGTTGGTGACATTGTCAAAGGCATTAATGGCAACAATTTGGAAAGCCAGCTCCAGGCTACTCAAGCTGTTAGGAAGCTACTTTCTAGGGAAAAACAACCCCCCCGTAGACCCCCCCCGTAGACAGCATCATCCGGGCTGGGTTGATTGTAGTCCCATCCAGTTTGAATCTGCACGGGCAGTCACTAACATTGCTTCTGGGATGTCAGAACTGACCAATGCTGTGGTGGACGGAGGTGCTATCCATGTTCATTTCTCTGTTGGCCTCTCCCCACACGCACATCAGTGAACAAGCTGTGCGGGCTCTAGGGAACATCGCAGGTGATGGTTCAGTTTTCTGGGACCTGGTTATCAAGTATGGAGCAGTTGACCCACTGTTGGCTCTCCTTGCAGTTCCTGATATGTCATCATTAGCATGTGGTTACTTACATAATCTTACTTGGACACTTTCAAACCTCTGCTACAACAAGAATCCTGCCTCCTCGCTAGATGCTGTTGAGCAGATTCTTCCTACTTTAGTTCGTCTTCTACATCTCGATGATCCAGAAGTATTAGCAGATGCCTGCTGGGTTAGTTCCTACCTTACTTATGGAACAAATGAATGAATTAAAATAGTTGTGAAAATAGGAGTTATTCTCCAACTTGTGAAGGTTCTTGGAGCTACTAAATTGTCCATTGTGACTCCTGCCCTAAGAACCATAGGTAATATTGTGACTAGGACAGATGATCAGACCCAGGTTGTGATAGATGCTAGAGCACTCGCCATCTTCCCCAGCCTGCTAACTAACTCCAAAACAAATATTCAGAAGGAAGCTACGTGGACCATGTCCCACATCGCCGCTGGTCAGCAGCACCAGATCCAGCAGGTTGTGAATCACGGGTTAGTCCCGTTTCTTGTTGGCATGCTCTCCAAGGCTGACTTTAAGACACAGAAGGAGGCTGTGTGGGCTGTGACCAGCTACCAAAGTGGCAGGACAGTGGAGCAGATTGTATACCTCATTCACTGTGGCATCATAGAACCGCTTATGAACCTCTTAACTGTGAAAGATACCAAAATTATTCTGGTTATCTTGGATGCCATTTCAAATATCTTTCAGGCTGCTGAGAAGCTAGGAGAAACTAAGAAAGTTAGTATAATGATCAAATACTGTGGAGGCCTGGATAAAATTGAAGCTCTACAAAACCATGAAAACAAATCTGTGTACAGGGCTTCATAAAACTTGATTGAAAAGTATTTCTCTGTAGAGGAAGAGGAAGATCAGAACATTGTGCCTGAAACTCTCTGATGGCTACACCCTCCAAGTGCAGGATGGGACTAAGGGCCTTTAACTTCTAGACTGCACAGCTGAGGCGCAGAGGGGTTTGTTGTGTGCTGTGTTTGGTATAAGTGTCTTACTGTTTCTCTACCAAGGACTCTTTTTAAATATGGTTGTTGTAGCACTTTTTACAACGAAACTATACTTGAACAGTTCCAAACTGTACATATTGTATGAAGCTTGTCCTCCAAATGGGCTTCTTATTTCTATGTGGAATTTCATACTTTGCAATGTCCTGTAAACAAAATTAAATTCCACCCTTTTCTTTAAAAAAAAAAAAAAACTAATGATTAAATATAGAGATAAACTATAATTAAGGTGAGAATTTTTAGCTGACGACTGATGTACATGCAAGAAAATTCCTTTCAATTTTTCTATGGAAATAAAGAAGAAATATGGTTACTTTTTATAAATACATTTTAAAAATACAAACACTGCACTATCCTCCAGACTTTCCATATTTTGACATTTATAGCGATCAACTAACTTTTTTATTGTATTTTTGATACAATAAAAAAGAGGGATTCAAGTAGTGGACCCAGAGGATTTATCTAGCTTTTGTCTACATGCTGAAGGATATGGTAATATATACTATATATATATATATATAATTTACACATGCAGAAAGTTTAGGTGAGTAAAATAAAAGCATTAAAATATACCAATAGAGGAACTAGTACTTGGCATAATGGCTGTATTGCTGGACTCCCATGTAGTCAACCACAGTTTGGGTCCTGGACTCGGTGGCTTTAACTCACACCAGGCACATGTGTATGCATGCCCAGAACCCTGAGATGAGAATGGAGAAGGGATTGCAACATGGCCATCCTCCCTGTGGGGTGATTTTTCACTTTCTGTCTCTCTGTCTCTCTCTGTCTTCCTGGCGAGTGCACGCATACTATAGCAAAAAACTCCTATACATACATATATGTATATGTGTGTGTGTGTGTGTGTGTGTATTCTGATAGAATCAATATTTGTTACAGAGGAAAAATCTTTGAGTTTCTTGAAGGAAAGAAGTTCAGTAAATGTAATGTATTATTTTACTAACCCTGGTAACATTAAATTCCCATATTATGCAATATTTGCTATTCAAAAATTCAGTGATTGATGTCTTTACAGTGTCTGTAAATGACTGTTATTTCAGAGGCGATTCTCAGTCCTTTGTCTGTGTTCATCACAGTAATGCATTATGGGTCCCAAGCATGCAAATCATTATTATTCTCTTTGTTCTGAATTTGTATAGTACTTTCTTTCTGTGAATACTCTACTCTTAAACTCTGTGATTCTCACAAGAATATTCTGACCTGGATAATGTAATGGCTCAGTATTCTACGAAAGCATACATACAGAGAGTTCATGGAGCTGCCTCCCTAAAGTTCAATCTTAGCTAGCTGAAAACAGAAACATATTTTGTACATATGAGCTAAGCAAAGTATGAGTCACCAAATGTGATCTATGCCTGCAATCTGGACCGCTTTATAGTAGTCTATTTAAATTCATTGCATAGGCATTAATTGCTACTTTAATAAATTTGAAGGAAGGCAAAAAGTAAAGAAGGTCATCTCAGCCTTTAAATATCTATCAATGGGAGGGGCCAGCAGGTGGTATGGTGGTTAAAGGTGCTGGATTCCCTTTAACCACCTTATGGCTGACTGCAGTTCAAGTCCCAGACCTGGAGGCATGCTTCCTTGCTTTCCCTCTCGCTCTCTCTGTCTGTCTGTCTTTTTCTGGTCACATAAATAATAATAATAACAAGTGGAACTGATTAAATAAATAAATAAATAAATATTTTTTTAAAAAAATAGCTACCAGTGGACCAGCCAGGTTGTGTACTGGTTGAGGATGCTGGATCCCACATAGTTCCAGTCCCAGACCTGGCTTGTAAAATATGCCAGATGCACGTGAGTGGTTGACCAAAATGATGAAAGGAAAATGGAAAAGAAGACACTGTGGCTAGGCCATTCCCCCACGGGGTGATTTATCACTTTCTCTCTCTCTCCCCTTTTCTGTTTCTCTCTCTCTGGTGTACAAAGATGCCCTATATTTTTTTTAAAAAAATAGCTACCAACATTTGTAAAATAATGGAGACTATATCAACTTGTTATAAATCACAAGATATATTCCAAAAAGTACAGTCTTGAGGATTCTGTAGGCAAGTCACTTCTGAGAGTGTATTTCAGAGTTCTCGAATTTGCTTCACAAGATGCTTTAAAAATATCTCTTGGCTACCTGTTCAGAGATATTTATTTTAACCTACTGATGCCAGGTCAAATGTAGTATAAGGACACAAAATAATCTTGGGACCAGCAGTTAGCTTAATGGCTATGTCGCTGGACTCCCACGTAGTCGACCACAGTTCGAGTCCCGGACCCAGTGGCTTAAACTCACGCCGGGCACGTGTGCGTGTGTGCCCAAGATCCCGAGAGGAGAAAGGAGGAGAAGGGATTGTGGCATGGTCATCCCCCCTGGGGGGTGATTTATTGCTTTCTGTCTCTCTGTCTCTCTGTCTCTCTCTGTCTAGCAAGAACCTCTCCCAAAAAAGAAAAAGAATACAAAATAATCTACTAAAATATCAACTGGTATAAAATAATTAGCTATATTTTGAGCAGATCTGATTGAAGTCATAGGTAGAATTAGCACTACTAACCTGGAATAGTGGGGGAAAACACATGTATTTTCTCTCCCAGGACTTGAGACTTACAGACGGAAGAAAGAAATTGCAAATGAAATTATTTTAAAAGGACTATGAAATCTTAAGGCTGCCAGAATCTTAGAGACCACTAGAAACATTTTCCTTGCTGATAGAGAAACAGAGGTTTGAAGTGTAGAAAGACTTGCTCCAGGTGCGGCCATCAATAGTGGCAATCTCAGGATGCTCATCAAAGTCTCATTTCAGCTTAGCAGTAGAATGTTTTAAGTTTTTGAGAGAAATAGACAAAAAAGTTTTAATCTGAAATTTTAATTAAACTGAAGAAATACAAAATTAAATGTCGGAGTCATTTTCAAATACACTGCAAACAAACAAACAAACAAAAAATGCACTCATGTGCCAAAAATAATGTTTCAGTTAATGATGGGCCATATATATATAGTGATAGAGCCATAAAATTATAATGGAACTGAAAATTTTTTATCACCCAGTAAGGTCATAGCTGCATTTTTTGTTGTTGTTTTGTTCTAAGATGTGTCTGCTCACCAGAGAGAGACAGAAAGAGGAATCAGCCCCTGGAGGCCATGCTTCAATCCCTTCTCCCCATTCCTATCTAGGGATTTTGAGCATGCATGCACAAGTACCTGGTATGATTTTCAAGCCTCCAGGTTCAGAATTTGAATGACGTAGTTGGCCATGTGGTATTCGGAGTCTGAACCACACCACCTGCTAGCCCAGGTCATAGCTCTCTTAATGTCATAGCACAACACTGCTGTTTGAAGTGATACTGGTGTTAACAAATCTACTGCCCTGCAAGTAGTATGGAAGTATAGCACGTATGATTATATTCGGGACATAATATCTGAAAATAAATGACTAACCAATATGTTAGTGATTTATATAATTTGAGAGCTTAATTCTTTTCATTATTTTTTGAGAGTATACTCCTTCTACTTTTAAGCAAATAAAAAAAAATGTTTAGTGGAAAATGACGGACCATATTACCCTGGCAACAACCTCATCCACCTCATGTTTACCCCATCTGATGATTGCATAATTTTCTCTTGTATTGATTTAATCTCATTGTTTTGTTCATGATAGTTCTTCCAGTGTGACAAGCTATGGAGGTGGGAGACAGTGATACTGCTCATCTTGAACCTGTGTTGATCTAGCTTTTAACAAAAATGAAAAAAAAAAAAGGAAAAAAATACCTAATTTAAAAATAGAAGTGCACAGATAAGACTATAAAGAAGGAAAATATTTTGTACAGCTGTACGATGTGGTTTTGTTTTAAGGTAAATGTTATAGTAAGAGTCAGAAAGGGGAACTGGCAGGTGTTATGATGGTTAAGGGCACTAGACTCCCACATGGACAACCATGGTTTGAGTCCCAGACCTGGTGGCTTACTTTCTCATTTTCCCTCTCTTTCTCTCTTTCTCACTCTGTCCCTCTCTGGTCAAATAAAAAATAAATAAATGAACAATTAAATAAATATAAAGTTTGATAAAATAATTCTTTAAAAATATTAAAAATATATTTAAAAGAAAAATAAAGGTTCAGCTGTGGTAGCATAGACTGTAGGGTATTGCTACATGATGCTGGAGCCACAGAGAAGGCCTAGGGTCTAATGCTGTACCTATCTATACAAACCGGGTTGAGCAGCATGCAGTCTAAAAGTCCTCCTTCTTTCTCCTACTTTCCCTCTCATAAAAGTGAAAATTAATTAAAAGTTTACAAAGTAGGCCAGCAACGTGCATGGTGGTTAGGTGTTGGACTCCAACATGTCTGACCATGGTAAAAGTCACAGACCTGGCAGCTTGCTTTTTCATTTTCCCTTTCTCTCTGGTCTAATTTTAAATAATAATAATAACAAATAAAATGAAATGAATAATACTTTTTAAAAGGTTTATAAAGTGGGGCTAGCAGGTGAAGTTGTGGTTAAGGCACTGAACTCTGACATGTTTGACCATAGTTCAAGTCCTAGACCTGGTGGTTTGAAACTCACACCAAGCAAAAGTGTGTGCATGCCCAAAATTCCAAAAGGAGACCAAATATCCCCTGAGGGGATATTTCTTGCTTTCTCACTCTTTCTCTCTGTCTCTTCTGCAAGTGCACATGCTCTAGAGCAAAAATCTCTCTAAAAAGAAAAAGGTTTATAAAGTAAAAATTTATAGTAAGCTAAGGTTAGTTTATTACTGAAGAAGAGAAATTTATATATGTATTATAGCCTAACTATACAGTGTTTATAAGTCTACAGTGGTTTACATAATGCCCTAAGCTTCACATTCATACTTCACTAACTCACTGACAGCAACTTCCTAACCTGCAAGTACCATTTATGTTAAGTGTCCCATACAGGT